CTCAAAACAAACCCCAAATACTAAAAACAAACACACATGAAAAGGATTTCCCTTGGCACGACACAGTACAGATCAACAGGTAACATATTTTTATAAAGGGAACCCGGCAGCTCCGCTGGGGCACAATGGGCTGTGTGTTCCAAGGACATTTAAAATATGGGAGGTCTTGCTTCTGTTTCATTGCTGGAGAAACACTAACAGTACAAAGTTGATGGGACCATTGCCTTTCTATATATATTTAACTGACTTTCCCCATGTGTCAGTTACTAGAAAAAAAAAAAAAACAACAGCAACAACAACCAAAAATCAACAACAACAAAAACAACTTGTCCTGAAGTTCTACTTTCCTTGGCTTCCCCTTGAACTTTGTTGAAAAGAATGCCTGACTCTTGTCTAATTTGGCTTTGCTATCCTGGCTCAGGCTGGAGCAAGTGAACCACTTGACCCAGTTTCCAAGGAGGTAGGGCCTACTGACCTTATGGCTCCCTTCCCCCTCTCACAAGGCTGATTCCTGCCCAGTCTGGTTTGTAAATAGTTCTTGGCAAATACCCTGGAGGAGACCAGAGCCACTAACAATAGCCACTCTCTTTTTAGCTTGCATCTCTTAGTACTTAGGGAAGTAAACTTGGAAAAACCAAAAATAACCTACATAATTGCAGTAGGTTACCCTTCCAGTCCATTTCTGCTATTGCCAACATCAGATGCCATTTCAGTAATATTTGAGCCTGTTGGAACTGAATGAGTAAATGTATAAGGGCTTGGAAATCAGCAAAGGGTTATACAAACCATTAGAACTGAGAAGGAAGATAATCTGAAAGTTTCAGGAAATAGAATTATCCAACCTCTAAGAATCATGTGATTCAACCTAGGATTCTTCTGATTCTTTTGTACATTTTCTCTTCTAATTCCTTTGCACATTTTATTATTTTATTTTATTTTTGGACTTGTATAGCAGCTTAAACTCACGGCCTCATGCTCTCTTGCTTGGCTTTTTTTGTGCAAGGCTGGCATTCTACCACCTGAGCCACATCTCCACTTCCATGTGTTCAGGGATTGAAGAAGAGGAAGCAGCAAAGAAAGTAATGATGGCACCTGCATACATAGTATGGCTTTCAGTCATAATCTTGGCGTGGAGGTGGGTGGGAGGAGAGACAGATTGAAACCAGAAATAGCTGAGGAGGGATTTGTTGAACATGGATGTGAGGTAAGACTCCATTTATTGAGATTGAGGCCGTAGACAAAAGTATAGTCGACATTTCAGGCCACTGTTAGACTGTGAATTATGGAGATTCAAATGTATGCGTTTTCTTCAGACATTGTATGGTTTGGGCCGGGGATGTTAGCTCAGTGGCATGTGTAAGGCAGGTTCTATTCTAACAGCATAGGTCCAGAACATCAGGATCAGAGTCTTCATTCTCATTGTAACCCCCTGCTCCAATTTATTTTTGTTATTGTAAAGATGATGTACAGAGGGGTTACAGTTATATAAGTGATAATGAGTACATTTCTTTTTTTTTGGGGGGGGCGTCTGGTCGTGGGGCCTGAACTTTGGGCCTGGGCGCTGTCCTTCAGCTCTTCAGCTCAAGGTGAGTGCTCTACCACTTGAGCCACAGTGCCACTTCCGGCTTTTTTTTTTTTCTGCTTATGTGGTGCTGAGGAATCAAACCCAGGGCCTTATGTATGCAAGGCAAGCGCTCTACCACTGAGCCACCTTCCCAGCCCTAATGAGTACATTTCTTTTGAACAGTGTCACCCCTTCTCTTGCTTTCTCCCAGTTTTTCTGTACCATCCCGGCTCACAGGCACAGGTTCATTTTCAACATAGTGTCCAGTGAATACTTCTTCTTTTTAATAAAGATTAACAAGGTTAAAATATGGAGAAATAGAAAATGATATAGAAACATTTCTTGCTCCCCATGCAGGAAATAGCAGTTAGAGACTCCAAGGCCACTGGTTTGGTACTGGATTTGCAATTGTTTCAAAAAGCCAATTCTGCTATATCCTACTAGGTAAATTTGAACTAATTGTTGGGCAGCTTCTCAATTCCAGTTGTGATATGTCCTGAAATCCTTTACTATGGGACTGTGCCTCAAGATGTGAATAGAAATCTGGGTCTGTTAATCCCTAAGCTGTTCCTGTGTGTGTGTGTGTGTGTGTGTGTGTGTGTGTGTGTGTGTGTGTGTGTGCATGCACGTGCACGTGCACATGCATCCACACACGTATGGGCCTGGACATTGCCCCTTAAATCTTTTACTTTTGTCTGGAACTTGATCACTGGAGCCATAGCTCCATTTCTGGCATTTATTAGTGGTTAATTGGAGGTAAGAATTTCATCGACTTTCCTGCCCAGGCTGGCTTTGAACCAAGATCCTCAGATCTCAGCCTCCTGAGTAGCTAGGAATACAGGTGTGAGTCACCAGCACCCAGCTTTACATGTTTTTCTTTTTGTCTTTTACCAGTCCTGGGACTTGAACTCAGGGCCTGGGAACTGTCCCTGAGCTTCTTTTGCTAAAGGCTAGCGTTCCCACCACTTGGGCCACAGTACCACTTTTCGCTTTTTCTGTGTATGTACTTCTGAGGAATTGAACCCAGGGCTTCATGCATGCTAGGTACTCTACCACTATGCCACATTCCCAGCCTTTTACATGTTTTTTTAAAGAATTAATTTCTTTGAAGCTGTATGACTCAGAATGGATTACCTCTTCAAGTGGATTAGCTCTTCAAATGCCTTTTCTACCAGATTACTTCTTCTGGGCTACCATCAAGATCTTTCAACTGTATGCTCCAAAGTATATCTTGAATGTATCTACTTCTCTAACAATTTCTTGCACATGGTAGGGAGACAATAATTTTGAATAATGAATGCATGAATAATCTTAATTCAATAGATTAATCCTCCCCTACCCTTACTCATCTCCCTACAATTCATCCTCCACTTTTCAGGGACAATACTCTTTTTAAAAGAGTAAATTAAAGTGGGTTACTGCAAGCCAGACCACACTAAAGCCACAAGCACACCCACGTCCATTTTCCGAGATCAGACGAGATCGGGCGCATTCAGGCTGGTATAGCTGTAGACCCCACGTCCATTTTCATTGCAGCATTCCTACCATAGCCCCTCAGTGGATGAATAGATTAAAAAAAATGTAGTATAGGGCTGTTATGTGGCTTAGTGATAGAGTGCTTGCCTAGCATGCATGAAGCCCTGGGTTCGATTCCTCAGTACCACATAAACAGAAAAAAACAATATGGTGCTGTGGCTCAAGTGGTAGAGTGCTAGCCTTGAGCAAAAGAAACTCAAGGACAGTGCCCAGGTCTTGAGTCCAAGACCCAAGACTGGCAAAAAAAAAAAAAGCAAAAACAAAAAAATGTACACACAATGGAATTCTATGCTTTCATTAGAAAGAATGATATTGTACCATTTGTAAAGAAATAAAAACATTTGGAAAAATTACATTAAGTGACATAAGCCAGACTCCAAGAAACATAGGTTGCATGGGTTCCTTCATTTGTAATATTTGGAACAAGCCTATAAATCTACAAGTAAACCCAATGGACAGTAAAAGACAAAAAGTTACACTTAGACATGATAAATTAAACAGGACTCTAAACATTCACATGGTGAGATGAAAGGTATTCTTAAGAGAGGGTCCCAAGGGCTCAGTAGCAATGCACGCATGACCATATAAAATGATGCCTATCAAAATGAACTCCAAGAAACGGAAACAAGAGGTTTTTTTTTATTTTACTTTTTGTGGTTCTTTTGTTTTTCTTTCTGTTTTTTCTGTTTTCTTTCTGTCGCTGTTTTAGATTTCTGTACCTTTTGTTGTGCATGTAAGTTTATATGATTCGGGGAGCGGAAGAAATGATGGGCCAAAGGGTGAACTTAATTCAGCAGTGATACTAGACACTATGTTGGAAATGAACTGTACAACTTGATGGGAGAGGAAGATTGGGAAAATTCTTGGAGAAAATGAGGGAGGGGGTAATAACACTGTTCACAATACCGGACTTATGTCTTAACTGTAACACCTCTGTATGTCACATTTACAATAAAAAATTAAAAAATGTAGTGCTTAAAATTCTTTACTTGAGAGATTGGAGGTAATGTGCACTGGTAGAGTGCTTCCCTAGCTTTTGTGGTGGCCTGGTTCAATCTCTAACTACACACACACGCACACACACACTCCTTCACATATTTCCCAATGAACTTCGGAATAAAACACTTCACTATGAATTAAGATGGCACATAATTACAGTCATCCACATTCCGGGAATTGTTTGCCTGTCTGATATCTTTTGCTGTTGGTGGTGAGATCCTCGGATCTCAGCCTCCAAAGTAGCTAGGATTACAGGTGTGAGCCACAGGTGCCCAGCTCTGTATGATATCTTTTGTTTGTCAACTGCATTCTGAGGATGTTGACAAATCTACCTATCCCATCAACTCTATCTTTAGAGATGTAGCATTAAAAAAAATGCCTCCTTCAGATACCATCTTTTTAAAAAAACATTTCCTGGCTGGGCGCCGGTGGCTCATGCCTGTAATCCCAGCTACTCAGGAGGCTGAGATCTGAGGATCATGGTTCAAAGCCAGGAAAGTCTATGCGATTCTTATCTCCAATAAACCACTAGGAAACCGGAAGTGGCGCTGTGGCTCAAGTGGTAGAGCGCTTGCCTCGAGCTTTAGAGCTGAGGGACAGCGCCCAGACCCAGAGTTCAAGCCCCAGGACCGACAAAACAAAACACAAACACCTCCTCCCACCCCCGCACCAACAACCAGGCCACACCCCCCACGTGACCAGGAAGTGCCTGAAGCCGAGGCTCTACCTCTCGCGAGAGGAAAGGTTTGAGCGCGCGCCAGCCGCTGTCAGCCGGCACCGCCTTCTCGGAGCGCCACCCACTTCTCGTCCTCATTCCCCCCCCCCCCACCACCACCTTGAACCCGCCGCGGGCGGGCGGGCGTGACGCCATGACGCCGTGCGCGTAGCGACGGCGGCGCAGGGGGTGGGCCCGCCGCACGGCGTCGGAGGAGGAAGTTGCTCCCACTGCGCCCACCGTCGGCTCGGGGGCGCGGAGCAGAGTCCTAGTCCACGCCGCCGCGTCGCCTTCGCCGCCAGCTCCCCTCCATGTGCCCCGGCGCCCCCCTTCCTCAGGCCGCCGCTTACCCCGGGGTCTATGGAAGTAATGGAAGGACCCCTCAACCTGGTGAGTGGCCCACGGGGGGCCGGGACGCCCCCCTCACCCCGTCCGCCCGCCCTCTGAGGCCTGGACGCGCGGCCCGTGGCGCCGAGGCTGAGGGGCGTCCGCAGGCCCCGGCGGCCCGCAGCGGTTCCGACCCCGGCTCTGCGGGCCGGGGAGCGGCTCGGAGCGCCACGTAGCCGCCCGCGTGTGCGGGCCGGGAGGCCCGGCCCCTGCCCCGGCTGCCATGGTGGCGCCGGCGCGTCAACCTGGGACGGTCGGAGCCTCCATTTCCTCCCCGCCCGTGGCCTCCCTCCGAGCCCCGTCCTCCTCTCTCCCCGAATGCACACGCTGGCGTTGTCCCCCCCCTCCCCTCCGCCCCGTCGCCGCACGGACGGTGCTGGTCGCTCCCAGGGAAGGTGTGGCACGCTGGCTTCAAGGCGGTAAGCGCAAGGATCCTGCCCAGGTTGGCCTCCGCGTCTTTCGGTGTTTTCCCTGGAAAAGGTTCCTAGGCCGGACCCAGCAGTCGTATTACAAATGGGGCAGGCAGAAAGAACTTCTTCAATCACAGGTTTGCAGTTCATTCGCCGTGGTGGCACTGGAAGACCACCCAACGGAGGATTCGTTTATGCCATCGGACCGCCCCACCTCACTGTTGTAGAAGAGCCCGGCATGGGCTTAAATTACAGAGAGAAGCAATAGAGTCTGGTGGTGAAGCCAGGTTTGGATTTGAATTCTGGCTTAGTCACTTAATAGTGGTGTGTACAAACTTACATCATTCAAGTTTGTTGTGAGGATTAAAGGGGTGAGTAGTCATAAAATACCGAGGACTAGCATAGTGTGTCAAAAGTTAGCCATTACTGTAGCGAGATTATAAAGTCTTAATTTAAAATTTCACTTACAGAATGAAGATTTGGATTGGCTGAGGTTTAAAGCCTTGAGATAGTATCACCTACAGCTGTGGTTGCAAATCACTGGTGTTGGGTTAACTGCTTTGAGGACTCTTCCTTGGTGTTAACCAAATTGGGCATTACCACCCCAGCCCCCCCTTGTAAGAGCTGTATACACTTACCAACTGGACTGCTGTTCTGAATTTTGAAGGGAAATTTCTTGTTTATGAGGTGATACTGTCATTTACAAGTGCAACAGGGATAGCTCCAACTGAAATTTCTCAGGAATGTTGTTAGAAATAACCAACCATTTACAAAGTGCTTCAGAGTTCAGGTGTCCTTGCAAAATGACTATTGGTTCAGTTCCAGTCCACTTCATTTTATTTGGTTAGACGCTGAAACATAGCCTGAGTGTGGCCAAGAAGACATAAACTCGTGGCAGTGGTAAACGAAGCATCAGATCACCAGTTCAGGAAAATTACTTAACTGGTTGAAATAGTCTTATTTTTATAGCAGAATTTTGAAAATCTATTAAGCAAGCTAGCACAATTTCGTAATCTAGCCATAAAATTTATGTGACATGTATCAGAAACTTGGTGTCTTGAATTTTTAAGTGACTTGAGATTTGAAAGACCTAATTTCCAGCCTGTTTATTGAAAGAAAACAATGAGACTGATGCAGACATTTATTTGGGGGGCGGGCAGAAAGGGAGGGAGGTAACAAGAGAGCAGAAGAGCTTGTGAGAATACTGAGGCTTGAACTGAGCACTTGAGGACTTTCTCTTAGCTTTTTCTTTTCAAGACTTATATACTACCACTTGAGCCACAGTGCCACTTTTGGCTTTTTCTGCTTATGTGGTGCTGAGGAATCAAACCCAGGGCCTCATGCATGCAAGACAAGCATTCTACCACTGAGCCATCTTCCCAGCCCCCACTTCAGGCTTTTTGCTTGTTAGTTGGAGAGAAAAGTCTCATGGACTTTGATGTCCAGGCTGGCTTTGAACTTCTATCCTCAGATCTCAGCCTCCTGAGTAGCTGTGATTAGCCACTGCTTGTCATTTACTTTCTGCTGCAATATGTCAATGATAGGCTTCTGTAAGATGGAAGACATGTTTTGAAGATTATGACATTCTTTTATGACAGTCTAGTTGACTTAACATGACAATTCTCAGTTCTGTAATTGTTGTTGTTGTTGCCAGTCCTGTGGCTTGAACTCAAGGCCTGGGCACTGTCCCTGAGCTCTTTTGTTCAAGGCTAGCACTCTACCACTTGAGCCACAGCATCTTATTGGCTTTTTCTGTGTATGTGGTACTGAGGAATCGAACTCAGGGCTTCATGCATGCTAGTCAAGCCCTCGGTTCTGTAATTTTATGAATGCTTTTGAAAGTCCCAGTACTATAATATATTAACTTGTTCTGAAGACATTCCAGACTCCAGCACATAGATTTAGTATGATCATGAGCCCTCCAAGCGTCCTTGGACTAACCAGTTAGCAAAAAGCCAGAAGTAGAAGCATGGCTCAACTGGAAATGTAGCAGCCAGGAACAGAAAAAAAGCTGATAAAGAAGAGCTCAAGGCCCTGAGTTCAAGCCCTGATTCTGGCACTAAAATAAAAAATAAATTTAATTTCTTGTTATTGGGCTAGTCTGCTACCAATTTGGTGATGTGAAGTATGTTATATCAAATTTGATGATGTCAGATCTTAATTGACCTGCAAAGGTCAAGGGTTTATGTGACTGTGTTGTCACAGTGGTTTTCTTTATGTTTAGCTCTTAGAGTGCTTTTTTTTGAGTAATAGAACTTCCATCTGGAGTGGTCAATCCTTATTTCATCTGATGAATCTTCTTGCTTTTGAACTTTTTTTTCCCCCTTGAGCCTGGGCTCTGTCCCTGAGCTGCTTTGGCTCAAGGCTAGTAATACTGTTATCACTTGAGCCACAGTGCCACTTCAGGCCTTTTCTGAGTAGTTTATTGGAGATAAAGAGTCTCACAGACTTGACTGCCCAGGCTGGCTTTGACCCAGGATCCTTAGATCTCAGCCTCCTGGGTAGCTAGGATTGCAAGTGTGAGTCACATTTTCTCTCCTGGCTTTTTTTGTTGTTGTATACAACAATTTAGGTAACAACTTGTGCTGTCATCAGAGCTTAAAGTTTAAGGAAGCCACATGAATATCCGTAACACAAGTTTATAGAGTTAGAAAGTGGTTGGGATCTTCAAGAATACATGGATCATTCAGTGTTACGAATGCAATAACCTTAGGTAGCATCTTGTTCTTGCCTCTGAAAGCACATACATGAGCCAGCTCTAGCTGTAGCTCAGTAGTGTCAAGCCCTTCTCCAAATCTCCCAATTCAAAGATTCAAGATTTCCAAATGATTTGAGTTCCTTTTAAAATTTCTGGTCCAAATATAACTATTTACTCTTGTGCCAAAACTGGAGTTTATTTAAAGTCATGATCTGGGTGTTTTCCTTTAGCCTTTTTGCTCAAGGCTAGTGCTCTACTGCTTGAGCCACAGCTCCACTTCTAGCATTTTGCTGGTTTTGGAGATGAGGCTCATGGACTTTCCTGTCTGGGCTAGCTTTTAACCAGGATTCTCTGATTTTGGCTGTTTTTAAAGATGATTGCAAAAAATCAAGAAAATACACATTTGAGTAACAGTTTATGATTACAACTCTTGATTTATCTCTGAAGAGTGTGAATCACAAAAAGTATCTGAGACTAACCAAGGGAGGGCTATTGGTTATTGTCTACCAATAATCTGTTCCTTGTAGATGCTTTCGTTCTAGGCTCTACTCATTATGTAGCTCTAGTTATAACTGAAATGGTGGTCTTATGTGTGGCAACAAGCATTATTTATCTTGCATAATAGTTTTGTGAGGATGGTGGTGCTCAGGATCAAATGGAAGGCCTCATGCTAAATAGGTGCTCTACCACTGAGTACACTCCCAGCCCCCATTCCTCTTTTTTTTGTTTGTTTGTTCTTTGAGTCTTATTATTATTAGTAACTTGGAATGTGTATGTGTTTGTCTTCTAGGCTCATCAGCAGAGCAGACGAGCAGACCGTTTATTAGCTTCGGGGAAATACGAAGAGGCTATTTCTTGTCACAAGAAGGCTGCAGGTAAGTGTGTGTGTTTGTGTATGTATATGATTATGAATATACATACATGAATATGTATATATGTATACATATTATATGTACATATTAAACACTGATTGTAAAACTGAAGAACAATTTCCTTTTCCCAGTATTTTTCTTACCACATTTTTAGAATAACAGTAATGATTGATACTCTGTATCTGCTAAGATGGACCCTATTGACCCACTAGATCAGTTTTGATTATTATTCACATGTTGATTGGTTTTCCTAGCCCATACTGACTGACCTGGTTTTATTTCTGAAATACAGAGGCTTCCATACATGCTTTATTGGTGAATAATTCCTGGATGCAGTGATGCCCCTATTTACAAGCCAGTTGTAGAATTCTGCCAATTCATCTGAGAAGTTATAAAAAGGAGGCTAGGTTTAATTGTAAGGTATTTTAGTTTCTACAAGTAGTAACTAATTCCATCCAGTTCACTTTTTGCTTTCGAAGATACTGGCAAAATCCACCAAAGTCCCTTGGCACCTAGGATGTTAGACGACTTGTCTTGTGATCTTTTCTGAATATTTCATTTCTACCCACATGTTTTTGGGACATGCTGGTGAGGGTTTTCATTTAGCTAGGAAGTTTGGAACTGTTGGCTTTTAGGGCTGGAAGTGGCTTTTAAGGCTGGAAGTGTAGCTCAGAGGTTGAGTGTGTGCTCAGCATGCATGAGACTGAGTTTAGTGCCTAGAGCTGAAACAAAAGAGGTGAAAGAAAGGAAAAAAGGAAGTGTCAGCTTCTTAACCATAGGCCTCTATTTTAATTCTAGTCAGTCAGGCAGACTTAACATATGCCAAACCAGAAATAGATCTGAGGGAATCTGTTTTGCAGATACCAATTTCTGTTGGTTGAATAACAACCCTAAAGTTTTGGAGGATGGGAGTGTTTTACTCGTGTTGCATTAAGAATGATTATAAGATAATCTTTCTTATACAAAGCTCTCTGCAGTCTATTAGAAGGCAGAGGAAAGAATGTTATTTCACTACTGAAATACATACCACACAATGGGCACTGGATTGGATAAGTTATCTTTTGTGATTTTTGTGTGTGTGATAATTTTTAGAGGAAAAAAAATTATGTATGTATGTCTGTACACATATGCACCTGCCTGCATGCTCATTTGGCTTTTTTTCCCTGCTCATATTTGATACTCTACCACTTGAGCCATACCTCCAGTTCCAGACTTTTGCTAGTTATTTGGAGATGAGTCTTACTACCTGGGTGCCTGTCTTGACTCATGGACAGAGTTTGTAGCTTTTAACTGCTCAAAGGAGAAAGCAGATGGTAATAGCTCCCTTTGTCTCCTGTTCATATAACTTAACATCTAAAATTAGGTGTTGGGGTGGGGCAGGGAAGACCTGTTGCTTTGGTTCTTCAGTTTTTATTTCTTGGTTCTAATATCTGACTAGCCTTTTTAGTATGTATATATCTATTTAATTTCCCTGCCTCTTCATATGGCAGTCCTGCTGCTGTGGTACCATCAACTGGGAACCAAGTTCAGCACTCTAGCTTTCAAGGAACGTTCAAGATCCAAACCAGTAGGGCATGGTGGTACATGCCTGTAATCCCAGCACTTATAAGAGTTTAAGGCTAACTTGGGCTGCTAAGACTAGTATCAGAAACAACCATACCTTCCCAGCTTTCTGGCCGTTTGCTCTAAGAGGAAAGTCAGATTTTTTTTTTTGGTCAGTTGTGGGGCTTGAACTTGTGGCCTGGGTGCTGTCCCTCAGCTCTTCAGCTCAAAACTAGCGCTCCACTTGAGCCACAGCGCTACTCCTGTTTTCTGGTGGTTTATTGGAGATAAGAGTCTCATGGATTTTCCTGCTCAGGCTGGCTTTGAACTGTGATCCGCAGTTCTAAACCTCCTGAGTAGCTAGGATTATAGGCGTGAGCCACCAGTGCCCAGTGAAAGTGAGAATTTTATTAATTTTAAATAGATTAAGTCACCCACAGTTTTGTCTTAAGATCAGAGAGAGGTTTATTAAAGGTCTTCTTAAATGACATTCTCTGCTCAATAACTCCCTTATAGTATATGTTGCTTTCAGTGTGTGTGTGTGTAGTTGTATTGAGTTTTGAACTCAGCTTCATGCCTGCTAGCAAGCACTCTACCACTTGAGACATAGATCTAGCTCTATAACAACATGCTTTTCTTGCTGTTTTGTTTCTTCCCTCCCCCCTCACCCCCTTAGCCTTGAATTTGTGATCCTCTTGTCTCAGCTTCCTAGGGTTACAGGTGTCTGCCACCACGCCTGGCTTATTCTTGGGGCTCTTAACTGCTAATTTGCAGTAGGTTGCTAATATAGCGGAGACAACTTGATTTTAAAAAAAAGCAAAAAAACCCAAAAACCTTACAGGAGCCCAAATGACAGAATCTAGGTGTTTAGATGGGTAAAAAAGATAATTCCTTGGTGTTTTTGTGAGCCTGGTAAAATAGGGTAAAAGTAGCTTCTTACTTAATTTACCCTAAAAACATTTTTCTAACTAGAGCGTTTTCAGTGGATTAATTGCAGAATCTATACACTTACTTAAATTATTTTATGGTGTTATAGATCAAAGGCAGGGCCTTGTTATTGCTGGGGATGTGTTCTACCCTGAGTCACACCCTCATCCTCTGCAGGGATTTATATATACAAACCCCTCAAAGTAGGTTAGGCAATGTTTACATATGTTAACCACTGACATCTGTTAGGAGAAGAATCCTGTGTTTCAAATTTCCAATTAGAGCAGATGTGCTTATAAGACCAGTTCTCTTTTGATGAGATATATTAAAACTCTTTTAACCTGTTAATTACAAAATGATAATGTCCATATATTAACATGCCACTTTTTTTTATTTTAATATACCAGCATATCTTTGTGAGGCCATGAAGCTGACACAGTCTGAGCAGGTGAGGCATATTCCTAATTTTTAAGTAAGGGTGAAGCAGATTTTCTTGTGGAGACTTGAATTGTGTATAAAATAAAGCATGAGGCCTTTCTTAAAACAATGCCTGAAAAATGTATAAAATGAATTCCTCTGGAAAAAGTGGGAACTCTTGGTGTCCCAGATATGGCATGCAGAACCATCTTAAGTTGTTCCTGTGGATCTCAAATTGGAAGTTAATTCCTTTAGAGACCCTTTTAGGACCTTGCTGATGATCAGCTCATAGTTGAACTATTAACTCACAGTAGGTACACAGGTCTGGCCAACTGTGTATTAATAATCCTTTGCTTGTCAGCGATATTTTAAATCTGAATAGTCTCCTACATGTTCTTCTTAGGAAATTCTTGCACTTGAACATTTGTTTCATGAGCACTAAATTGATTCCTAAAAATCATTTCTTATTAGCACCTGAGAGGTGTGTAATATTTTCACTAACTAAAGTGGTTATTTATGTGAGACGTATCAGTGGCTGGGAAAAACCACTTGATCCCCAAACTGAACCAAAGGAACTTTAAAGCTGCATTTGCAATGGTATAGACCCTACTCCTGTAAGCTATGTCCTGCAGATGTGCATTGTGCCTTCTGAACACCCTATTGATAGGAAGACTTGCAGTTTGGCTAGCTGTAGAATTATTCCTAAAGAGAAAGATTTCAAGCCAGGCATTAGTGGCTCACAGCTGGTAATCCTAGTAGATCCTCAGGAAGTTTGAGATCTGAGGATCTCAGTTTGGCCAGCCTGGGCAGGAAGGTCGGTAAGTTGCTTATCTCCAATTAATCACAGAGCAGCTGGAAGTGGAGGTATGACTCAAGTGGTAGAGTACCAGCCTTAAGTGAAAAAGCTAAAGGATAGCAGCACCTAGGCCCCCAGCACTGGAACACACAGAAAAACAAAAAGATGATTTTAAGACTGGGGCTATAGTACAGTGGTAGCATACTTGCCTAGTACACGGAAACTGCCATGGCTGTGATCCCCTAGCACTGTACAAGTTTCTAATTTAAAAACAAATTTTTTTTGGTGCTGTCCCTGGAGCTTGAACTCAGGGTGCTGTCCCCAACCTTCTTTTGCTCAAGGCTACCACTTCAACCAGAGCTCCATTTTGGTTTTTTTTGGAGGGATAGTTTATTGGAGATATGAGTCTCATGGACTTCACTGCATGGGTTAGCTTTGAACTACAATCCTCAGAAGCTAGGATTACAAGCATGAGCCTCTGACACTTGAGATTTCTAATTTTAAGTGGTGCATAAATAGCATTGAAGAAGGTAAGGCACATTCACCAAAAGACTGATTCAGACTTTGAAATTAAAAAAAATTTTTTTAATGGTTATTATAAGGGTGATGTATAGAGAGGTTCCTTTAAGTCAGTGATGAATACGTTTCTTTTTGGACATTGTTTTCAGACTCTAAATGAATTAATGGATTAAAAAATCCCTGTTAGGCATTGGTGATGAGTCTGTAATCCTAGCTGTGTGGAAGGCTGAGATTAGGAGGATCATGGTTTGAGGCCACCCCAGGCTTCAAAAAAGTTTATTGCCTAAAAAAGTTTTAGAGGCCCTTTCTTAACCCGTACCTGGGCATAGTGGCATGCAGTTGCCATCCTAAGCAACATGGGAAGCTGAGCTTGGGAGGACTGTTCCAGCCCAGCCCAGGCAGAAAAGTCAGAGACTCCATCTCAACAGAGGGAAATTGGATGCAGTGGTACACAGCTGTCATCCCAGTGAATTTACGTAGTCAGAAAATGAGACCTTGTCTCAAAATAAGGAGAGAAAAATAAAACAGTATGCTCCAGGAGTGCTTGTCTAGCAAATAGCCTTGAGTTCAGACCCACATACTGCCCAAAAACCCGCCAAGAAAAGAAGTAACTTAATCTCCAGTTCATTAGACTCACTTCTTTTGAGTGTTTTGAGTTTCTGTTGCAAACAGCATAGATTTTCAGTTACAGAGTTAACACTGAAAAGGAAGCTCTTGGAATAGTGTATATATTGAACAGGACTTTCAAACAGTGGATCCTATATTCTGTAAACTGACCTTTCCTTCTGTATTATAGGCCCATTTATCACTGGAATTGCAAAGGGATAGCCACATGAAACAGCTGCTCCTCATCCAGGAGAGATGGAAAAGGGCAAAGCGCGAGGAACGGCTGAAAGCTCAGCAGAACACAGACAAAGACGTGGCTACCCATCTTCAGGCATCTCACAAGCCCTCTGCTGAGGATGGGGAGGCTCAGAGCCCCCTTCTTTCTCACAAGTACAGCCCTTCTGTGGAGAAACACCTCCCTGAAATTCATGGGGTCTTTGACAGAGATCCAGACACACTTCTGTTTTTACTTCAGCGAAAGAGTGAACCGACAGAGCCGTGTATAGGAAGCAAAGCCCCAAAGGATGACAAAACCATAATAGAGGAGCAGGCAACCAAAATTGCAGAACTGAAGAGGCATGTGGAGTTCCTTGTGGCTGAGAATGAAAGATTAAGAAAAGAAAATAAACAACTAAAAGCGGAAAAGGCCAGACTTCTAAAAGGTCCAGTAGACAAGGAGCTGGACGTAGACGCTGACTTTGTAGAAAAGTCTGAGTTGTGGAGCTTGCCACCACAGGCAGAGGCTGCCACAGCCTCGTCAACTTGGCAGAAGTTTTCGGCAAGTACCGGGAAAGCCAAGGACATTCCAATACCGAGTCTTCCTCCCTTGGATTTTCCATCTCCAGAACTTCCACTGATGGAGCTCTCTGAAGATATTCTGAAAGGACTTATGAATAATTAAAATGAAAGCCATTGGAGGTCAGAAGAAGAAATTACTCAGTAACAGTTCATTAACAGTTACTCCAGAAATGAATAAAAAGGGAAAACCACACCTGAGGGTAATCCTGGAAATATATCATCATCTGGCACAATGTGGGAGAAGAGGCTTGCCAGGGCTTGAAAACAGTCACTGTGAAATGTGTCGCATGCCTGATTCACTGACTTGAGCTAATGATTCCGACTTGGCAGACACTAAACTTTTGGAGGTTTGTTTTCTCCTGATACAAACCAAATGGCTACCTGGAATAATTTTTTCGAGCAAGAATTTTTCTTCAGGGTTAAGTGTATAAAAACAGTATGTCACACATAATCTGTAATGCCATAAATGGTAATGCAAACCCTAAATAATATGGTAGCCTGAGGGGCCGCCTTGTAGCTGAAACATGCTTTCTATGATATAGTGACTGTATGCATTCTGTTATGCACATTTTGTTTGTTTAAACTATATGTGCCACACTTTGCACTACTCATAACATGATGATAACCTCAAGACTATCAGGAGAAATATAAATTTCCATTTTATGAAGAAAGGAACCAAATTTTAGTTACGCTTTTTTAAGAAAATTACCAGTTTACATAATTAATCAGGGTGCATTTTAAGTTCTAACTTTGTTATATAATGCATCATTTGAAAATACCAAGGAGGTATCCCTTGTATTTAATGATGCATGAGTGAAGTCATGCTAGTTGGCAGTATTTTGATTGTAAGAAATCAATAAAGTAATTGTGTTTCATGCCTTGGTTGAATGTGCTTGGTATGGTTAAAAAGGCAAGACATTATTGAATGGCTTCTTCCTCTGCTGAAAGGTTTGCACAGGGGTTTGGACAGGTGCTGTTAAATGATTACGATGCTTTGCTGAGATAGATGTGTGTGTAGTTTCTTTTTGCATTGTTTTGTAACCCATTTCCTCTCATAAAGAGAATGTTCTGAGGATGTGGCTTCTTGGCCCTTTGGCTGAGATGAAGTAGAAGGTTCTTGAGGTTTAAATGTGTGCACTGCATTCTTGATCTCACACATGCTCTAGGCTATGGTCTGCTGTTCTCAGGGCACCTGCCACTCAGTTGAAACATACCAAATGGAGAAGGTACTGCTTTGACATTCTCTACTCAAGTCCTCTAATGTTCTAGGAGAGTTATGGGGAAGAAGACACTGTAAGCCAAACGCTTTTTATTTTTTTTGGGTCCGGTCGTGGGGCCTGAACTCTGGGCCTGGGCGCTGTCCCTCAGCTCTTCAGCTCAAGGCTAGCACTCTACCACTTGAGCCACAGCACTACTGCCGGCTTTTTTCTTTTTGTTTATGTGGTGCTGAGGAATCGAACCCAGGGCCTCAGGCATGCAAGGCAAGCATTCTACCACTGAGCCACCTTCCCAGCCCCTGTAAGCCACACTCTTGAGTACAGCCACTAGGTGTGTTTATGGACTTGGAATTGTAGAACTGAGAACACACTACTTTAGATATCTGTGTCCTTTAAAAAGTTACGTTAATATGTCCATCTGGGTATTAGCCTAGACTTGGCGGATATTGCAGCTTGTCTAATCTTCCTCGTAAAGCCAGCCTGAGAGTTTAAAACTTAGTGCCAAGCCAAAAGAAATTTTTTCCTTAAAAAAAAAAAAAAGCTAAATGAAAATACAGGGTACAAGTTCAGGTCCCAATCCCAGCAACAGAACACCAACACATCAGTATTGACTTAATGTCTATAATCCAAGCTACTTAGAAAACTGACATCTGAGGATCTTGAGCTAACCTGCAAAGAGATATTCTCTAGACTCATCTCCAGTTTACTAGCAGAAGGCTGGAACTAGAGGCATGGCTGAAGTGATAGTGTGAGTGGAGAAAAATCCTAGTACAGCCTTGTTCAAGCCTTAGTATCTAAACAAAAAGGACAATGTGGTGGACTGGGGTCATTGCAGAGTATCTGCCTAGCAGGTATGAACCTGAATTTCAATCCCCAGCACCTCATTAAAACCCTCCCACCCCACCCCCCTCCTGCCCCAAAACAAACCCTTTTTCTTGGAGCTTGTCTGTCACGTGCAAGGTCCTGGTTTTCTCCGTGCTAAAAGAAGAAAAGCTGTTTGGCATGAACTTTTTTACATTAGTTGTGTGAGGGGCAGGGAGTTAGTTCATTAGAATAGTTCACAAATGTACAGTGTGTAACGATCAACTCTTGTTAGGAATACTTTAAGTCCTCTTCCACTGCTGCTTGGTCCTGTCATTTTTCGCTATTACTTGCAGTATTATTTTTTTCTCAGGACCCTTTTCTATGCTTTTTCTTTTTTTGTCATGGGGCTTGAACTGTGGGCCTGGGCACTGTCCCTGAGCTTTTCAGCTCAAGGCAAGCGCTCTACCACTTGAGCCACAGTGCCACTAACAGTTTTCTGGTGGTTAATTGGAGAGGAGAGTCTCAAGGACTTCACTGCCTGGGCTGGCTTTGAATTATGATCCTCAGAACTCAGACTTTTGTTTTTCTTGTTGGTTGTAGGGCTTTGAACTTCGCTTGGGTGCTGTCCCTGAGCTCTTCAGCTCAAGGCAAGTGCTCTACCACTTGAGCCACAGCACCACTTCCTTCTACGTACTTTCACTAAATTTGTTTGTCTTTAAGGTTCTTACAGTACTCTTGCTTAATCCGATTTTACATGGTTTATTAGGCAATACTTTAGATTGTATTCAGAGCTATTGCTAGGCAAGTGCTCTTTCTGATCCCAGAATATCTGCAACTATCCTACAATTACAAACTTTAGGAGTGCCATTTGGCAATGAGAAGCTTTTGGGTCTTAGAAACTTTTTAGCCAAGCTGGCATAGGAACCACCTTAGTCCATTTTGCTTTAGTTATTTTTCAGATATAATGGTTTTTCCTGGGACCAGCTTCTCAATCGGTTGTCAGCCTTTTGTCCAGAGAGTTGGGATTACTATGTGCAACTTCTTTTTGAGATAGAACTTTTCTCCTGGTCTGGCCTTGAACTATGATCTGTAGTATCCCACATAGCTGGGCACCCGGCCTGTTATGCTATGCTCAGTGACAACTTTTAATAGAATATATTCCTACTTTTTTGTGAACAGAAGAAAAGTGTCTTGAAAATTTGTGGGAACTAGTTGACGTCATCTCTGGGAGGAAAATCAGCAATCATATCTGTCTAGACATTTTTTGTCCCAGTATTGGAGCTTGCTTGAACTCGGGTTGTGGGTACTATCCCCTAGCTTTTTCATTCAAGGCTAGTGGCTATACCACTTCTAGCTTCTTGCTGGTTAAGAGTTTTACTTTGTTGCCCTATTCCCAGATCTTAGCTCCTGAGAAACTTGGATTACAGGCCAGAGCCACCAGAGCTGAGCTAGACACCTTTCAAATCAACTTGACCTCTGTGTCTACTCCACCAAAGCTTAGTTCAGTTGATTGTACTGGCTCTTGTCTGCATAGAAACATGAGGTTACTGCAGAAGTTTCTGATCAACTTGCAATTGTTTTTCAGTTTGAAAAACTCAACAATGAAAAATGATTAGACGAACAAAACTACCAAGTAAAATAGCAGGTGTGAAACCAGACGATATATTCCTATTATTTCTTAAATCTCAGTTGTCTATGGTACTAACTTCTGGGGCTTGTACAGCAGTTAGAAATATATCACTGAACAGGCTGAACTGCTATGTCAGAAATAGTGAATCCAAGTTGGAAGGCTATTCAACAGATGGGGTAAAATGTCAGTGTCCTAAATTCTCTTCTGTTCCAATTTGCCTCACAACTTGAGCATGTGAATTGTTTATTTAGCAATTTCTTTTGCAAGAAAAGCTGAGATGTAGGAAATATTCACCTGATCCAAGCAACAGTTAGCTACTTCCATGATAGCATATTAACACCTATGCATATCCAGTCTTGCCTTTCCTTTGTTAATCTTTGATAATCGGGTAACCTTCTTTCCACCTTTACAGTAATGCAAAACAAGCTGCAATCCTTCTCATGCCAACTTCACACTAAATGTTAGATTTACTTCAAAGTAAGTATCTCAGTTTGTAGTGTTTATGTATTTCTTGAACATTTAACATGTGAAACCTAGCTTTTATTTTGTTCTGGTACAGGGGCTTGAACTCAGGACTGGGTGCTGTTCCTTAGTTTTTTTGTTTTGTTTTGTGGTCAGTTGTAGGGCTTGACTCTGGGCTTGGGCGCTATCCGCCAGCTCTTCAGCTCAAGGCTAGCGCTCTACTACCTGAGTCACAGCACCACTTCCAGCTTTTTCTGTTTATGTGGTGCCTTGGAATCAAACCCAGGTCCTCATGCATGTGGCAAGCACTCTTACCATGAGACACCTTCCCAGCCCCCCCCTTAGCTCTTTTTGGTCAAGTTTTAGCACTACCACTTGAGCTGCAGCTCCATTTCCAACCCTTTGCTGGAATGGATGTCTCACAAACTTTCCTGCCTGGGCTGGCTTCAAACCCAATCCTCAAAGCTCAGCCTCCAGAATAGCTATGATTAAGATCATGAGGTACTGAAACCCAACAAATGACAATTTTTATTACCTCTTTCTGGGGGAAACCCAATTGATTAAGATGTTCTTGTATGTGATGATGAACAGCAGAACCAACCAAAAGGTTAGAACAGGGGAAATGGTCAGAGGAATTATTCCAGTAATCAGAAAGCAATAGTAATTCAATTCCACAGCCTTCCACTCTATAGATGCCTTTACTGATGTAAATATCATGGTCTCTCTATACCCTACATTTAACAAGAATTGGATCACAGGCATGGAATTCAGATACAGAACACTTCCAGGTTTTACATTCTTGAGCTTCAGCCATTCTGAAGGGTTAATGGGGATAAAAGGAAGTTTAAGAACTAGAGAAGGCTGGGAAGATGGCTCAGTGGTAGAATGCTTGCCTTGCATGCATGAGGCCCTGGGTTCGATTCCTCAGCACCACATAAACAGAAAAAGCCAGAAGTGGCCCTGTGGCTCAAGTCCCACGACCGACAAAAAACAAAACAAACAGAGAAGCAAAACTTCTTGAAGATAATAAGAATTGGGTTCCTGGCAATCTTCTTTAAACTCATTTCACATTGAAACTAAACCATGTAACATGGGAAAGCACAAGTTGAGGCACATTTGAAAAAAGTGCTATTAATAGGTCAAAAACTTGTCAGGTGCCTGTGGCTCAAACCTTTAAAGTTGATCTCACAAGGTTGAGATCAGAAGATCTGGGTTTGAAGCCTGCCCTATCAGA